AAAATAATTGCTGTTATCGTTTACAGCTCTTGGCTTTCCGATAGCCGACATGAACAAGTTTCTCCGTTTAAATTTGTCAACCAGATCGCTAACATATCATTTATTTCTTCGCTTATCATAACTTAATTGAATTAAACACGGTTTTTTCATTTCAATATTTCATTTGACCATTTTCTATCTCACCCATACTCAAAATGTATCGGTCAATAGACATCCAAATAGCTAAATTGTTTGTCGGACGTCTCACCTATAGCAGACTAATAAGAACAAATAACTTCGAAGCTGGTCTGTGTCTGGTAATTCTGCTGGCGAATGATTTTAGCTATTTACTAGATATTGTTTCTGTAATGCTGGGGGTTTAGGAAAGACAAATTTAGGAGCCAGTGCGGTGGTAAGTTTTAAAAGTGCCTATATCTGAGCCTATAAGAGCTGAACTCATTGGTTTCAGCATAGTTCCCTATTTTCTTTTTTTTTTCTGAAGCTTTCTCTACCGTGGTATATTTTCCAAGCAATCTAAATAGGTAACTAGACAGTTTACAGTTAGTTTATTTTCTGTAGATTAATATTATTCTTGATTAAATAAACTTTAAAACCTGTATAACTAATTTAGATCAAAAGAGACATGAAGGGAAGAACTACTGTTTTGCTCAAAACAGGATAACTTTATTTCTGATTAAATAAAGGTACATACTTATTTGTAAATATCTGCTTTATACACACTATATCGATGTTACACAAGCACCATACGCAAACCGAAGAACACAAAAATTAGCAGCAAAAGTTGAACAAGCTTCAGTATATGTAAATAGTGTAATCGCCTCTAATAAAATCCGAATTAGGTTTTATTTGAGGTTCACAACTACACCTGTGTGTGTCTCACTCCACTTTTTTCACTGTAACAAACGTGTGTCGCTTACAATTCGTTATTTTCTGCGATAAGAGCAGAAAAACATCACAACTTCTGCTAAATTTGTATCGCATAAAGTATAAAGTATATTTTGGAAATATACGGAAGTTCCTAAAATATGATGCCAAAGTAAAATAGAAGACAGTAAAGTGTTCGAGTTTGGCACCATATCTTACAAACGCCCTATATGATGCAATGGTTACTTAATTTGATATAGTTTGATTTGTCGATATGGCGCTGTTACATACCACAAAAATAAAAAATTCTCTTTCAAAACAAATTAATTTTTGCCAACAAACAGTAAGTGATATATTTTGTTGTATTTATTGCCGTCATATCGCAAAATGTGAGAATCAGCTGCATATAAAGCACATATTTATTTTTACGCGTTTTATTAGAGAATTAAACCCAGCTGCTGTTAGTAAAATATGTATGCCATGCAAATATAAAAATTAAATGGGACATTCCTCATACTTTATAACTGTAGTTGGCTAGTAGTCGTAGTAGAATTCATTTCTGGTAATACAATGTCAATATAATATGATTTTTTTATAACTAATATAATTAGTACTCGTATTAATGGTTGCGATTAGACTTTGCTGTATATACTTTCTCCATAATCTTAAATTCATTAATAATAATATAAACTCAAACAAAATAAAGTTTTGAATAATGTTTTATTACTTTTCAAAGGCTTAAACTCTAATAAAATGAATAGAAATAACTAAAAAAGTAATATTTTTCTTCGAAACTGATATAAAGTGAAATTTTGTACATTTTAATGAGACGTTTTTATTTAACATTCAGAATCAGATAAACTAAAACCAATTTGTAATTTATCTAGTTCTTATAGACCAAATTTTTAATACTCTTCTTTAAAGTGTGATGTGTATTATAGGAAATAGATTTTATAACGTTTATTTTCGGCAGATATAGGTATATTTATTTTTCATACAAAGTGATTTGTTAAATACAACTCCTAAGAATCAGTCATGTTGTTCGAGAAACAAAATTTACCGTGATTTCGAATCCGTAAAATCTAGTAAACTTTGAAAATTTTGAAAAATTCGATTTGTTCGCCATTTAGAAACGTTTTGCATTTTGCTTGAAGAAAAAATTACAAGTATGCTCAAAAGTACTATATTAAAAAAGATCAGAATGAAAGCCAAATACTTTAAATCACCTTTACAACGCATCAGGTGCATAGAAACTATTTCAAAATAAAACAAAGTAACTTAAAAGATTTTCAAAATACATCGTAATTTCTCAAATCGATTTTAGAGTGTCAACATTTATCTAATCAGATTTAGAAAACAAAATACATAAATAGTACATAGAAATTATTCAAAGCTTATATGAAATACAATAAAATATATCAAAATACATAAAAAACGCCAAAATATAGCATCACATTGCAATAAAAAACTTCACTGTGTAAAATGGCCATATCTAACACATTGCAATGTTTTAAAATGTGACTCTTTTCAGAATTTATAACTTCAATTTACATCTGAGGTCCTTTTAACCCTATCAGGTCAGAGTCAAGATCAATGCAAGGTCATATCGCGAAAAAAAACTTAATGTAAAAAATTTGACCGTTCTTACATGTTTTTGAGGTTACTGATTCCGAATTCAACGTTAGATTTTCAAAATTCAAGATGGCGGATCCAATATGGCGGACCGAGTATTAAAAATTTTAAAATATTGAAAGATAAAAAATATTTTCGAATTCTACATGAAATTTTAAGTAAAAAGTATCACTAGTAATTTTTCGATGAGGAGCATATTTTCCGAGAAAAAAATTCATGATTATTCGAACATTTTAATCTGTATATTTGTAATTTGTATTGTGCTTGCAACAAAAACACTGACCTTAAAAAATGTGTATGTGGTTAAAGGAGCTCTTGGGATCGTTGATTCCGAATCTAGTTTTAGATTTGCAAAATTCTATGTGTCGGATCCAATATGGCGGTCCGAATATTAAATATTTTTAAAATATTGAGATAAAAACAATATTTTCGAAGTCTACATAAAATTATAAGTAAAAAATGCCCCTATGAATTTTTCGATTAAAAGCATATTTTCCGAAAAAAAAATTCGTGAATATTGGAATAATTTAATCTATGTGTTTGTTTTATGCTTGCAACGAATACGGATATTACAAAATGTGTTTATTGACCTTGACACTGACGTAATAGAGTTAAAAAGGTACCGGATTCGAAATCAGTATTGGAAGGTCAATTAGGCCGATTTTGGACCCCCTTCATTCATCATCCAATAACTCGATTTCACCCCAAACGCCCCTTCCTACTCAGGATCAAGGTCAATTAGAGGTCAGATTGAGAAAAAGCACATTAAATCAACGGATCTCGGAGTTTTTGGGTCTTTGAGTCCAAATCGGACGTTAGTTTGTCTGTACCAGGCCATTTTAAGGTTGTTTCAAGGTCATTTCAAGATCAAGCCGAACAATCAAGTCATAGGTTTTTGGCTAATTGTAAGTTCGAATCCGAAGTCAATTTGTCTGCATCAAGTCATTTGAGGGTTATTTCAAGGTCATTTAAAGGTCAAACTAAGAAAAAAATAATAAAGTCTGAGTCTGAATTGAATTCAAGGTTATATGACGATTTAGTCCTCCACTACTTGATTTGTGTCGATTAGTTTAAGGGGAACCGAAGGAAAGGAGGATTGGCCAAGTTTTAGGTCAAGATATCACTGATGTGTAACCCATGCGAAATCTTACAACCTTTGTACAGGTTATTTTTATGTCAAATAAGTTGTTTTCGAGATAAAAGATCATTTGGTCCTTCAGATGAACTTGACTAAACCTTTCGTAGCTCTGTTTAAACTCGAATGATTTTAAAAACATATTTTTAGTATCAACAATTTTAGCTTCGTTCGAAAACAGAGGGGTCTGAAATCGTGTCTCACTGACCCTACAAGAAGTCCTTTTTCTCAAATCAACCTTGGAATAACCTTGAACCATTATTAATACATATACATGGACTTTGGATTCGGATTCAGCGACTATACGAACGGTGCTTGATTCCAGGGTTTATTCCATAAATTAACTTTCAAATTATTTTAAAATGGCCTTCAAATGACCTGACAGACAAACTGACCTCAGATTTGAACTCAGCAGCTCCAAATACGTGTATAACAGGCAGTTAGACTTAATTGATAGGCTTTTCTCAACTTGACCTTGAGACGACCCTCAAATAACCTGATGCAGACAGACTGGCCTCGGATTTGAACTAAGAGACCTCAAAATTCTGTATAACATGTGGTCGGCCTTAATTGCTCGACTTTTTCTCAATTTAACCTTGAAATGACCTTGAAATTACCTTAAAATAGCCTGATACAGACAAACTAATCTCCGATACGGACTCGGCGACCTAAAAAACCTAAACTCCGAGATCCTTTGATTTAATGCACTTTTATTTTAATCTGACTTCTAATTGACCTTGATCCTTACTAGGAAGGGGGGGGGGTGGAATCGATTAGTTATAGGATATAAATAATAAAAAAAAATTTCTTTTTTTTTGGCCAAAAATGAAGGCGGCCGAAAACGGGCCTAATTGTCCCCCTTTCATGTAGAATTCGAAAATATTTTTTATTTCTCAATATTTTAAAATTGTTAGGAGTCGGTCCGCCATATTGAATCCGCCATTTTGAATTTTCAAAATGTAACGCTGGATTCGGATTCAGTGACCCTAAAAACGTATAAGAATGGTCACATATTTTTCGTCAACTTTCTTTTCGCGATATGACCTTGGATTGACCTTGACTCTGACCTGATCGGGTTAAACGGACATGTAGACATCATGGTCTGGTCTTTTGGACCAGGTACGTTTATTTTCTGGCGCTCTGATTATTAAATATTGTTATTAGAATTAATTATTTTAGAAAGTTCCCAATGTAAACTGCATTTTTATCCTCAGTAATTTATCCAAAAAAAAAACACTTTATACAGCTTTCGTCGAAAAATATTGCGAAATGTCGCTCGAGTCACAAAAAACTAAACGCTCGAGCAGAAAAAAAGCTATACACCATCTAAACTCTCTGCAACATTTTTTACTAACAGATTCACGCCCAGCCCCCCAGGAAGCCGAGGCCGCGCATGAACTCCGCCATCTTCGTGTCGAACAGCGGGCCCGGACTTGACCCCAAGGAGTTCTTCCGGCGACACGGCTCCGTGTCGAAGCTGTGCCGGAAGGCGAGGAGCGTGGACAACATATCCCTGGAGGAGAAACACTTCGGACTGCCCCAGCTGTCGATATCGGGCCCGTCGCCTCCGGAGGACGAGGAGAGGTACCTGGAGAGGGACGTCGAGGAGACCGAAACGTTGATGCAGCAGGAGTGAACGGTTTCCGATGCGATTCCAGTCTTATACGTGTTTAGTTTTGTGGGAGGTTACGTCAAGTATTTCGAAATTGTTCATTACATTGTTTAATGGGTACATCCTAAACAGATAGGCACAGGATTTTAATCAAATGATGTTCCTTTTCAATCTACAGGGTGTCAGTTATAAAAAAAATCAAACTTTGACGATGTTTGGAAACTGAGTTGAAAATTTAACGAGTTATTCATATTTTCGATACTTTTCCATCGAAAGAAATATAATTATTTACCATCTACATATTTATACAAGTTGTCCCGAAGTTAGAGTGCAATCTATGATTAAAAATGAGAGATAAAGTTAATTTGCAATCAACAACTACTCTACGGACTATATGTCCGGACTAGCATGGAATTACAACAGCAATATCATATTAAATACAGTTAGAGAACTATCAAGTGCAAAATCAGTATAAGTCTGGTGTGTTCGGGGGAAGAACTGTATTTAATATAATAATGCTGGTATAATTCAAATTTAGTCAAGGCATATATAGTCCGCGAGTAGTTGTTTCATGAAAGATCATCAATTAAAATTTATTTCCATCCACATAGTAGCGACATCTGTCATGCTTTCATGATGTCTGTAATGCAGGTCACTACATATATTTGCCATTTTTGCCTGCTTTGTAGATCTTGAGTCCCTAGATAAAACAATGAAATTTGAAATTTGAATATTACTATTAAGTTTTAAGTCTTATGTTCGAAAGTAGTTTCTATATTTTTGTCAGAAGCATCCAAACCAGACCGTGTTTTCCCTAAATTGTATTCTTAAGTTTTTGTATACGAACTTTTCCAATATTTGATTCAAATATCAAAAAATATAAGTGTACCTATAAAGAGAGTCTGATAAATAATTAGTTAACATACAAAATTTAAATATTCATTTTAGCTACTGACAAAGAAATATATTTCTTATAGCTTCCGAAATTGATATAAATCGACTGAAAAAAATCCAGATTAAATTGCTACATAGACTTCTAAACGAGAATAAAACAATACAGAGTGATTCAAAACTTATCCAAAAAAAATAATTATTGTGCAGGGGACTCTTACAGATACAATTTCAAAAAAATGAAAAAGGTCAATTCGAAAATGATTTAAATATACACATCTGCACGGCACTGTAAACTGGTCCACTGTAAAACCCGACCTAGCGACAAAACAGTCGGCGACCGGCACGGCGGCAAAGTGTAATAAAAAATAAAAGGACAATACCATACATTGCAAGAGGGACGTTCAGGTAAACTACACAGTAACGTCGTTGTACTGCAGTTGGTACGACAGAAACTAGAAGCGTTTTAGCTTTTACCAATCCGTTACCACCAGTAATGCAAGGACCAATCAGACAACAATATTTTTGACAGAACACCACAAAACATACAATATAGTAAATAATACTAATTTTGTGTAAACAGAGTAGATAGTATTTATACCATACAAGTACAATGCAACAGTACAACTGCAATGCCATTGCACTAAGGTTTATCTGAACGTTACTTTACCCAGTTTCTACAAACTAACACAAATGTTGTCTTGCTTCACCATAAATTAAAACGACATCATGAGCTCTGAGTTGCTATACACGTAAGCCATTTTTAACAATTGAAAAACTAATGTAAACACTATCACAAACGTTAATACTCGGATTTCAGTACTCGGAATTGCCTGGGGCCTCGTGTACAGAGGGCGCACAACACGATTGACGCTAGAGACTACAGTAGCCCATCGACGTAAGGGTTGTAAATACCACAACTTCAATAATTTTTTTCTAGGAAATTATAAGGATTTTACAATATTGAGTTCATTTTTCATGACGCATCTATTCACAAATTTTTTTGGATAAATTGTGAATCACCCTGTATATCTGGTTCACTTATCAACTTATTAACTGTTTCGTAGAAACACTTCACTAAAGCAACTTTTCGATGCTTCTAGTCTAACAAGTGTATTATAAAGTTTTATATAAGAGTTCCAATATTTTTAAAATTTTATGACACTCATATACATCCAAAACTTGATGTATGTATAATAACGCTACCAAGTTGCCGATGTATTGACTATAAAGTAATTTCTATTGTAGGTTTACTTCTGCATTTCTTGGCAACTGCCCCTTATTCATTTTAAATGAGAAATTAATAATATGTGTTTTATTTCTGATAAGGCTCTTAACAAAACGCTTTTTTAAAGTTTAATTCGTTTTCTAATACTATCATAATATCATAATATATGTATATCCAACCAATATCACCTTGCAACAGCTTTCAGTCATTTACATTTTTAATGGTCTTAAATATTTTTAATTCATCTACCAAAGACTACATGAATACAATAAACCAAGTAGTAGGTCCTTAATGAAATATAAAAATAATAGAGGTCTTAAATGTGATCCCTGGGGAGTCCTAAATAAACTTGGTATTTACTGAATTATTTTGGTTTAAAATTATAATTTACGCCACAAAAATGCAATTCTAAATTGTAAACCATTTGAATTGATTGTGATTGTTTTATTTTCCAATTACAAATAAAATGTTTTTGTTCAATTGTCCCCCTCATCCCTTCCCCCCTTATTATTTATCAGAATTTTATTATTATTTTACTTATTTATTTATTTATTTATTTATTTATTTATTTATTTATTATTATTTTACAGAATGCTCTGACTAATATCGGGACACCTCTACATTTTAAATTAATGGGTTAATGCTAGATAAACAAAACACTAGACATTTGCTTAATTGTTTTATCTAAGTACCTACTTAATAGTATTGCTATTTTCTTTAGCAATGGGAATATTTTAATTTGAAACATAAAAACATTTTTTGAACTTGACTTAAAATTGACAAACCCATACTTACAAACTACATTTTTAAACCATAAAATGTATATTTATTTACATTATTTAGTTATTAAAATGTCTTTAGATCATTTTTTCCCATTTTTAGGCAAGATTTATTTCTACTGTCAAAATTTAATACTCTTTTTCATATATGCATCAATAAAATATGTATTGTAAATGTTTGAACTGTGTCAAAATTTGTACTAAATTACTAATTAATTAGTTATTTAATTAATTAATTAATTAACTATCTAATTAATTAGTAAATAGATTTTGTAAACTAATTTGCCAGGATAATTTTATGATTTCTATGAGCGAACAAAAAGTAAAAATACTTGACGTAACTCCTTCGTCCTGTTGTTCTGTCTCCATCATCAACAAGTTTTAATCAACAGCTTTAAAGGTCCGACGGGCTCCACAAGTGGTGCGGCGTCGCCTTGTATCGTTTCGTATACTTTAAAGCAATAAGGATAGTGAAAAACACTAAAATGGTGCCAACGTGTGAATCGAGATTTTCAGTGTAGTATGCGGACAGCTTTAATTCCTTCTTCGATCATTGTTTTTTTTTACTGTAGAACTAGTGTAGATCAAATGATATTTATATATGAAATGCCACTAATTTAGATAAAATCTGTATTACTACTATATTCGGCTTACATTCTTATTGTTTTACGTAAAATATTTAAAGTGAACTTCTCGGTCACCATTCTAGAATTCTTGAAGAGCTGTGTACTTTTTTACTTTTATAGTCAGCCACTCTGCTATATGCCGTTACTGGAAATATTTTACGTGAGTTGCAAATGTGCAAATGTTTTTAAATATGCATTTATAAACATATCAATTAATATCGAATTCTAAAAGAGAATGAAACATTTGGTCCTCTAACTTTACTTATTTGAATCGGGCATTTTTTTGGAAGTAATAGAAATAGAAGGAAATAGTTACGTTTCTTGGGACTGTTACGACGTTAAAATATTACCAAATTTCGTTTGTTACTTACAAAGTGCAAAATTGTCAGTTCTGTGTTCATTTTTACATTGGAGGCATCTGCTAAATTGGCAGAATACTTTGGAAAGGGACCAATAAATTTAAATCAGGAGCTTTAATACATACTTGTAAATATTACAAGGGAGAATTGAAAAGCCATTTTTAAAAACAACTGCACACCCTCAAATTCGTATAGCTTTAACTATGATAAGGGTAACTACTATACATATGATATATCTAACTGAAGGTCCAAAACTTCTCGATTTTCAACCTCTTTGTACTCCAAGAATTTAGAGAAAGTCAAATGAACTAAACTATGTTTGAATGAAGTTCGAATGATAGACTGTAAGATTCTCTTTTGCCCGAAAATAGTGGATAAAAAAACTATAAAGCTGCCAGAGTATTGCGTTTAAGAAAATGATTAGACATTTATGTTTTTGACAAATACTTTAAAAAACTTGTTTTTCTTTACTGTGTTGAAAACTATCCTAGAATAGCCATTACCAGTGACTATCAAAATGTTACCAAATACACACATTAAAATGTTATCTTGTCACAAAAGAAAAAACCAGAACAAAAAATTATAGTAATATTAACATTTAACAGTCACAGATGTAGATTACAGATTAACTAGTAGATGGCGTTAAAAATTCCGGAGAAAAAGGTGAACAGCGAACATTTGTAATGGGCTTATTTAGCATATTTTTTAAAGTCATATTCATAGTTAGTTAATATACATAAAATCAGATTTTTGTTCAATAATTTCTCCCCCAAAACAATCAATTGGTACACGGGAAATGGTACGGAAGCCATGTTGTGACGTCATACCACTCGTTAGTGGCTAGCCCAAATCGTATGATATCTCCAGCTACAGAAGTAGGCAAAAGCTTTAAAGTAACGAAAACATCTACTCTATCACAGATAAGTACCTAACTTAGGACAATAACCCGTTGTTGGGTCGATCTAATCGAGTGCTGTGGTGTCACAGTTGATATATGTAACATTACATACATACATCTTTAACACAATATATCTGGTAGCTAGGTTTGTCTTTAAACATCTATACTGTATTATATCTTACCTCCTTAAGAGGGCTCTATAGCAAATAGGCAACCACCAATACATTTTTATAGATTCTATTACACAGTTTGTTTAAATATGAATTAATACACAAATAACAGACTGCCCCATTTTAACGCAGATTTTCTATAAAATGGACTTGGTTTGAAACTCAAATAACATTTTCTTGTAAAGAAATTTGTAATTTACTTGTTCAAAAGCGGCAAATTACAAATTTCTCTACAACAAAAAGTAATTTGAATTTCAAACTAACTCCATTTTATAGGAAATCTACATTAGAATGGAGGAAAATGCATTGCTTTATATTTAGGCAAACTGTGCAATAAAATCTATAAAAATGTATTGCTGGTTGCCTACGTGCTTAAACATGTTTTGTAATCCCATAAAATTTTCTAAATTTGTAAATTAGCTTTATTAGATTTAGAAAAAAAACTCCTAATTATTATGTAGTGGGTACGTATAATATCAGTTGTATCGCCTGTCCTGTATCAACGATTACTTGCTCAATAGTAAAATTGTCTAAAATATAAATACTAACCATCACCCCGATGTAAAAAGTAAATAAAGGGGTGAATATTACTTAAAAATGATTATCAAGTGTTATTATTAGTAGAAATACATTTAAAATTTCTTAAAATATCAGTTAACGTTTTTTTTTTTGGAAATGAGCCAGTTCTTATATCCTTCCTGAAGGAATTTATTTATTACTTATTATTTATTTATGTTAAAATTTATTTAGAAGCAACAGCAACTAAATTAATATTTTCCTCAATTTGCATTATCTAATGTTATTAATATATAGCCAAAAAAATAATACATACGGTAAAAGCTTGATATTAAAAGAGCCACTATATTATGGGTCAATTAAATCTTTACTTGAATAATGTGTATAGAAATTCTAATTTGTTTCTTCAAAAATAAACAGCTTACTTGATTTTGATATGCCATAAGCAAAGTAACATCCTTCAAAGAAAATCACAGTCTCTTTATTAAAATTGTAAATAGGTATATCTATTTTCTACAATATATAGGTGATTTATTTCTCATATATCTAATGCATAATAATGTTGGTAGAAAATTATCTCAGAAAGTAATTATTAAAAATTATAGGATATTATGATTTTACATAAACTAAAACAAAAATGTTTTATACCTAAGATATATCTGTGAAATCAAAATTTTTAAATAAATGGAGATATGGAAAAGTACGTATATATTTACAAAACCATATATCGAAATATATAATACAATATAAAAGTCAGGAAAACGAAGAGTTTGTATATTACAATTTAGAAATGGTATTGTAAATGTTAACTTTAGTTTAACATAATGTATATAAAACATCTTTTTCTACAACGGGTCCAACGTTCTTAATTTTGTAAATTTATTGCACATATCTTACTGAAATCTCTATCTCGAGAAAACTTGCCTTGTTATGGAATAGTTACAAAATTATTTTAAAATGTAGTGTACATTATTCCTTATAGTATATACAAAATGCATGAAATTATTAACTATATGATTTGTAACCGTGATTGTGATCATAAGGCCTTTCCATTCCCTTCATATTTTTCATTATAAATTTTACTAAAAATACCTATTACTGTAAAATATATCCTAGTAAATATCTACTGTAAAGTCTTGTACATAAATATAAGTTTGTCACTGATTTCTTTGTGTAATGCAATAAACTGTATATCCCTGAAACGTTGTTTTATTAAAAAAAAAAAACAATACACAAGTTCGTCATATAGTTACAGATAGGTATGACATATTACTAAAGAATAGAAACAATAATTCCAGAAATGCGTCACAAAGGCGTTTTAACAGTCAACACTTATATTATCAAAAACACGTGTTGTTCGTATATTAAATGAAAATTATATTTATGTCTCAATTTTACAAATTCAACCTTAGGTCTACCTTTTTCGCTTCTATATGAGACTACCTATACATTAATAATCCTTGGATAACTCCGTGACGTACAGAATGACGTCAGTTGTCAGGCGTTGGCATTTGTTGTTGGAGTTGCCTTTGTGGTGTATATTTCTATATTATTTTCGTTAACCTCATTTATGGGCTGTTGCCACTCATTTTAGAATACAAACCTTAAGTTTTATTCAGTTTTAGTTTTGTGGTTAACATTTTAACAGAAGAAATGAACAACTCGTGGAGAAACGGTTCAAACAACTCTTCAGGTTTTGTGTATTTCAATACAAACAACTCATGCCAAAATCTAAATACCTCGGATTTCATGGCTTTTAACGACCCCTACGGTTCTCCAAAGTGCAATAGGTTTTCTCCTGTCCACTACAGCAGTCCGAGAAATTTCTATGGAAGGCCCCCAGGACGTAACAGTTTTAGGTACCATAACAGTCGAGAAAACAATTCGTTTAATAGCTCAAATAGGAGCTATAACTCCACCGGCTTTAATAATTCTGGAAAAAAAAGTGGGCATCAACATGGAAAGGTACGTTGACACATAAAAGAAGCAATACAATAACACACACACATTATTTCCTACATTGGTAAAATGTTTACATGGGTTGCTTTAGATTTTGTGAAAGTTTAAACTTATTGTATAAATATTGTTTTTGTAACAAACAAATGCTGCAATCTAGTTATAAATTGCTGTCATTTAAATTGTTGGTATTTGTAGAATAACAACAGTTTTCAAAACAATGGCGAAAAGAACTTGTCCAAATATTATGACCACACATGCTTGAAAAATCCATGGGCCGAGTTGGAACTAAAGTTAAAGAAAACCCAGGAATCGGAAGCGAAAGCAGACCCTGTTATTGTGGAAAAAGAAAACACAGATGTCGAGGAAAGCTCAAGTTCTGCAGACGAACAAGAAAGTGAGTCGGAAACCAAAACGAGTAGTAGCGAAGTTGAGGATGGAACGACATAACATTAGATGCATGTCGGTGAAAGATAAAAGAGGGCAATGGCAATATTTTAATATGTAATGTGAGGTATGGTGTTTTAATATCACGAAATATACAAATTTTAAATCGTAGATTTAAGTAACTGCACATTGGCGGTTTATTACATATCAACTAGAAAAATATAAACGTTATAACATTTTTAAATGTTTTATCAAAACCGAAGCTTTTTATATAGAGTGTCCCAATTTATAGGTGTACAGGCCATTAACATAGTAGGTAACTGGAAAACAAATGAACTGGGTTTCTTCAATTGTTAAAGACTAATTAAACAAAAGAAAAGCATAAATTGCTGATATAAATGCAATATTACTCTTTTTTGACATTAATTCGGAATAAATTAAATACTTGTTTAAAAAATAAAATAATTGCAATAAAAGAAAATATTTATATCACGAATTTTCAATTTGTATATAAAATTGAAAAATTTATACATTTTTATAGAAAAGGAAGGTACAACGATTTTTTGAAAGTTATAAAATGATGTCGTTTGATTAAATTTCAGAAAAAATTGCTTGTACAATTTATTTATTTATATTTTTCATGTATCATGTTAAGGGTATATATACACATAAATTGGGGCACCCCCAAATTGAAATTATGGAAACGATAAAGTATAATGTGTTGACATTTTTGTGCAATGTGCAGTCCTTAGCCCGTTTTGTAATAGTTTTAATGATTTTAATTTTCGATAAAATTTATTTGTGCGATTTATCAACCCGAGGATACTAAAACACTTGCCTCACTGATCTCCCTCTTAATATTAACGTAAATTGAAACAGTACCTGAATGTTTACGTTATAAATATATTTTTAAAGTATCTCATCAAATCATGCCATATAATTTGATTTTTAGAAAAATAATAAGAACATAATTCGGGTTTTCTACAAACGTGAACAAATAAACTAATAATATATTGTTATGATTTAGTTGTTACTAATAAACTAAGTGTTTATGGTTGTCCTACACCGTTATTTTATTTTATGTTGACAAAAATGCGTGCATCTAATTTTATTAATGAATATTTTGCAAGGAAGTTGAATACCGAATACCTGCTTCTGTTTGAAGGATGCAGTTAACAAACAGATAGTAATGAAGATAGTTAATGCAACACTTGCACAAGTCAAGCTAACAATATTGTTTTGAAAAGTTAATTCAATCTTGAGATTTTGGGAAAGAAATTGATCCCAAAGGAAAATAATTATCAAAAAAAAAAACATGTAAACTTATTTTTCTATTATATAATTTTAAATCAAAATATATTTATTGATTTAAAGAATACTCATCAGAAATAGGTCATTGAATGTATTTCTGTCACCTGTTACTTAAACATGAACAAATTTTAGTAGCCTATTAGAGAAAAATCTAGCACTTTCGCACATGTTATGACGTAATAAGTAAGAAAATCAAATACAAACGTTTTGGTTTTGGGATCATTCAAATGGGACACGTGGTCGAAAGTATTACCTTTGGGACTTGACAGAAACAACTAATGACGTCGTCAATTATATTTTCTCCAGAAACATCTATTTTTTTTCCTGTTAAAAAGCTCTCTTTTTTTTCTAATAAGAGTAATTTTTCTGTATTATTTACCTTAGAAATACCACCTAAAAACCACATTAGCGGTGATCAAGTAGTCGTTGGAAAATAATTGAATGTGCGTTGTTTAATGTGCATAAATATCACAACACTTGTCATTACTCAATACGATCGTAAAACTTATAACTTTTGTGCTTACAAAATGTTTTCTCATTCAGAAAAAGTTGATATGTGTGTATGCAGCAATATTTAAATAACACTTCCCAGAAAAATGGATTGGGCTTAATCGTCCTATTTGGTGGTCCAAAAAGTCACCAGATCTAACACTCATCGATTTTTTTATGGGGGGGGGGTTTAAAAAATAAGGTTTACAAAACACCGTCGCAAGATATTAATCATTTGAAAGAAAAAATCGCCAACGCGTGTAATGAGTTAAATGGTGAAATGTTAATAAACGCAACCCACAAAAAAGTCAGGCGAAGATTGGATATGTGTCTTGAAATGAGAGAAGGTCATATAGAGAATAGATTGTAATATGTATGTAGTATGAAAGCGTTTGCCTCATTTTTTAAGTTTAGTTATTGTTATCATCACCTTTTGTTTTAACTGGATTGAAGAATTATCGAGTTTAATCTTATGACATTTATGCACTAAACAATGAACATTCAATTATTTTCCAACGACTACTTGATCCTTCCACGGCTAATGTGATTTTTAGGTGGTATTTCTTTTGAGACTTACTGCCAATACTATTGAGGGTGAGACACCCTAGCCATCTCTTTTTCTCCTTTGGGGAGAGTACCAAGAGGGGAATTTTTAAATTTATCGATGGAAAATATGCATCCATCAAATTGTACAGGGTGATTAAGAACAACGGAAGACTCTTACAAATACTATTTTGTAAAAAAAAAATCAAATAGGGCAGTTCGAAAATGATTTAAAAATACACTTCTGCACGGCACTGGAAACTGGTGCACGGTAAAACCTGACCCTACAAAAGGCAAAGTGTAATAAAAAAACGGACAAAACTTGAAAGTATGTCACAAGGAAAGAAATAAATGAATTTTATAACACCTATTTTATATCAGCAAATCCAACTGCTTTTGCCGCTATAGTTATTATTAATTGATGAAAATTTGTCGTTTTACTTAATAAAATAATTTAACATACCTGATGTTACAACTGTTAAAAATTTTGTCCACCGACGTGTAAATACATTTGGACCCGTCTTACACAGTTTCTACGAACTAACACAAATGTTGTTTTGCTTCACCATATTAAAACGATATCCATCAACTCCACTATATATGTTGCTATACACGTAGCCATTTTTGACACTAACTACTAAAAACTATTGTAAATACTATCACAATAACGTTAATACTAATACTAATTGTAAAATTGGATTTCAATATTCAGAGTCGCTGGGGCCACATGGCTCTCCACGCGCTTTGTCTAAAGCACACAACACGAATGACTCTAGAGACTACAGTTGTCCAGCGATGTAATTGATTAATTTTTTTCTCGGAAACTATAAGGATTTTACAAAAAATTTTTTACAATATTGACTGATTCTTCATGCTGCATCTATTCCCAAATTTTTTTGTGAAGTTGTGAATTGTTAGAAAAAGACAGGAACTGTATGGATTTCATCGCTGAATTTAAAAACTGCCCAAAGTGCTCTCCACATAAAATGAATCCCGCACATTTTCTGTAAAGAAATATTTTAATTTTGATCCATAACTGGTAAAAGTGGAAACAGATTTAACATAGCTCTCTGCAGAAAAATAAAAATTATTCACTGCAGAAATATTTATTGTGGCAAAGAAAATGAGAATAATCACGTATAGGGAGGTGGAACCACTTTACTCATGACTCAATATGACATACGAGTTAAAATACAGTGGGTTTATAAAATAACAGGTAAATTCAATAAAAAGTGAATAATTTTGTTTGTTTTCTTCTCTGGAAGAAATGTATGTCAATACATCAATATTTATACTTATTAATAACATTATTTGATGTCAACGTTGATTTTTTTATGTCGAATGTAACATTTTTATACTATTTGGAAGGAGTTTTTCAAGGAATACTTTTCCTTCCTTTTCATTGTTCTTGTATGAAAATTAAGAAACCTCACGCTCGGATTCATAATTTTAATATTTAATTAATAATATTTTTTATATAGGGTGACCTGTGAAGGAGCTGATGATTTTTTTAAATTGAAAATGGTCTTTATACTATTTTCGAAATAGCATTTCAAAGATGTACCTACATACTGTACATTTCCTTCAAAATTTTTTTAACCGTTCTTGTTTAAAAATTAAGAAACATTTTATGGATTGTTCATTGTTTTAATAAACATCTGTTTCGGCTACCATATAAATGTGTTAAATATTTCTAAGAATTTTACTAGAGATAGAATGAAGACTGATGAACTGAAATAGTAGATTTATATTTTAATTCAGTTGCGTTGTAATGTGTAATGTATTTTTTTAAATACTTAAATGCCGAAATATTCTTAATGAATAACATGAATAGTTAAAAGAATTTTCAAGACGGTATTAAGATTACATACTTTCTCCTTAAAGAAAATCAATAGTAACATCATAGTTTATTCAGGGGATGGTTCAAGTTCAGGGTTGTATACAGGGTGCAACTAAAATGCTTGACCAAACTTTAATGATAGGTTCTACAAATCGGCAAAGTTTCTATAAACACATGTCAAAAAACATTCTGTTTTCCAAATTAAGAAAAAAATTCAATCGAAGTGATTTCGTTTAAATTCTTTTTCTGTTAATTTTTTATATAAAATCTGTCCCTAATGTTTAACTGCACCTTGTATGGCATAGAAAAACAAACTTAAAAATAAAAATCGGCTGTTTGACTGTTTTCCCCCTAAAAAAAATTGCTAACCCTATATCGAATTTACATGCTATTTTAAAAATATGTAGAAATGTAGCACATTCTACTGACCATTTAAAAAACTGAAAATTCTAAAAATTACAATTTTTATTATTCCATCAAAAAAATAAATTTAGACTACATATAAAAAATATACTTTGATAAACAAGTGAAAATAATTCAGTAACCCTTACTTGAAGAAGATACGTTCAAGAAAAGCGCTTGTTGGAGATTTATATTCTTGTATTTGTTCAGTTTTGAGAAATTATCCTTCACTTTCAATTTAAATTCTTGCTGCTGTTGTTTTCACTTGGTAATTATTTTTTGCAAAAAGAAATAGGGGAAACAAACCCCTGTTCTAAGTAAAATAAATTTTATAACAAAATTTGGACATCTTTATGTTCTTATATATTTACTTTTTACATTATTATAATGCCAAATATAATATTTATGTATAAATGTATAATTTTATGTATTAAAGATTACACATATTTATAATTAATTATATTTACACACATAGCATGTTTAATAGCCAGTTTATCAAAGGAAGTTTAAATTGGATTTAATTAAATCTCTTCGTAAATAAATGTCTCACTCTTTAGTACCAAACTCAGTTTAATTAAATCGTAGTCGAACTTCATAAACCATATCTAAATATGATAATTTTCACATTTTTAACTACATATTTAACTGTAGAGAAATTTTTTTAGTATTCTTTATTTATAAAGTCTATCTAACATTTAGTTAAATTAAACTAATAAGTAATGAGCTTAGTACAAACACTGGTCAATAGTGTTTAATTAAAAAGAAGTAATTCAGATGATTTTACCTTACATTAATTTATATTTTGCAACTAATAACTGAGTTGTGGTATTTACATGTGAAGTTAAATGTACTAGATTTGTAGTTTTCATTAAAATTGTGAAACTAGTTTTAAATTTTCTAGGAATAATTTTTTATGAACGTTATTACTAGTACATGTTCCTAAGTGTCTAAGTGTTTAAATAGTTCACACATTTATTTGAATCTCAATAATTTTTCAGAGAAAACAGTGTATTTTGTAACAAGACATGGAAATACTTTTTTTTGTGTAAATATGGCAAACTAATGAATGAAAAAAGTATTTCATCTCGAATAGGAAGTACTATTTTCTCATATCATCTTTTCATCTAAATCAAAATCCACTGCTGAAATCAAATTAATTATTTATTTAGTCCTGTTCATAATAACATGTATGTTATTTTAACAAAATCTTATCCTCTAAAAAAAATATAGTTATAATAGATTTGTCTCTTTTATTTTTATTTTCAGTTATTTTACTGGCAATTATCACAATCCTGTAAATTCCAAGTAGAGAAATGTGAACTAAATGTAAGAGTTGTTTGGTAATATGTATATATATATTCGCATAATCATGACTATAAATAATAATGTTTATGATGGCGTGAATTCAAAAGTAAACAGATATTATTTATTATCATGAATTGTGTGAATATACAATTTCTTTTATCATGAAAAATTAATTTATGTACTTTTGCAAAATGTCCGAAAAAAGTAAAGAATAACAATATATAATTCATTTAAATTTGCATTTTTATTGTGTCTCTCCAAAATATACCCAGTATAACTCAAAAGTTATCATCGAATACCATACTGTCGTTTTTTTTTTTTAATAAAGGAGTGAACTTGATGTCATTATTTTTAACAATTTGTATTGAAACAAGGTTGACAATATTGAATAGATGTTAAACCCAAAGAAATATTAAATAATTTTCACAAGAACAAACGCCAAAAAAATGGATAATAGAAATTTAACATGATTAAAAAAAGTTGTCTTTGTGGTCCTAGAAAGCATCCCCTAAAAATGATTAATTTGTACCAGCCAATATTGCTGCAAAGCCTTAACAAGCCTACCATAACAGTGAGTTAAATTTGAAATAAAATAAAAGGAAATTGTGCACAATGCCTCTGAAAACGCGCTCTTCTTCCTTCAATCAATTTTTTTATTTTGTAATTTGATACAATCGGTTTTTTTCTTAAACCTAGAACACCTTATACCCTCGAATTGAAGGGATTTTGGAACATAAACCTGATTTAAGATGTAGAGTTCGCTATTAAAGCTTGGCCAGGTATTTCACTTTGTATATGGTAAAGGATTTTTATTACTTTGGCCATCTAGTGTTGTAATTCTGCAACATAGCCATACACGCTTACAGGTATTGATTGTAAACGAAAGCATAGCTATGACTTTCCGTGACTAGATGGCGCTATCCTGGAAAAAGCTCGTCAAACATGGCGCCTGCGTACTAAAACTTTAAAGAACTTGACTACACTTTTCAAGTTTTCGAACAGTTTTGCGAGCTTTGTGGTTGACGGTGTACGTTGCTGTTTTGTTTCAGACTGAAAGAACCTGTTGCTCTCTTGTGAATTCGTTTGCCGAAATGAAAAACTCGGCGCCTAGGTGTATTATAAGTTTCGCACAGTTTCCAGTGATAATTTTTGTGTAGTGTGCGTTCCTCTGACTGTTAACAGTGTTAACCATGGGACTAGGAGTTTCAAAAGAGGCTTCTTCGGCCCCCGAGCCAGACAGAGCCGATAGTGTTATTTCTTCGAAGTTGCACGGCAGACAGGCCAGCATTAGGCAGAGCACGATAAAGGCTAAGGCAAAACAGCCTATGCCGGATCCAAATGAGCTGGAAAGAAGGTTTACGAAAGTTTTGGTATGTAGGTTTTCGTTTTTTTCTCGTGCGTCCGTTACGTCAATGCTCCAGACACATGGTCCAAGTGTTACAAGTTATAATTTATAGAGGCGCTTGATTTATTTATGTTAGATGTTCACATGTCAATATTGCACAAAAATATTTGCTGTCATAAATTAAACGAAAATAGATTATGACACATCAGGATGAGACACACTGTTTTTTAAAATATGGGGAAAAAACCGCATTCTTCTTTCAATAATAAATTATAGGTGATATACTTAAATCCTATGGTATGACAATAATTATAGTTTTTAAGTAAACCACAAGTACCTACCTAGGTAACTAGGTACTAGTATTAAATTGAGGTGTTACTTTACCTGCAATGACTGCATCTATTTTATTTACATACTGTTTTAATTTTTTGTTTTTACAAAATTCATTGCCCATATCATCTATTGTTGTTCTACTACCTAGATATGTATTTTAGTAAACTTGTAGCATGAATCATCAATGCTTACTTACTAAACGATATGGAAGTCAAGGTAAAAGTAAAAGTAAAATTTAAAGTATTTCAAACAGTATTGAAACCTATTTACTGGAACTGTCATAATAAATACCTATCTTTTTATCAACTTTGGACACTCTCAAGGACGTTATGATAAATAAATATGTACATAAGTACCTACATGTCGTTTATGTACATGATTTAAAAATGCTTGATGTGCCGTATTTTGAATATTAATTTTATTGTTTTTTTTAAATTTAGTTAAAACTGCTGGTTAATGGTAAAAATTTTAAATTTGTAAGTATTACTGCAGTAAATGTTTCAAAAGTAGACGTTAAAGCTAAACCAAATTAAGTATTTACATTTATTTTACTACTTTAGATGTTTATTTACATTATTATGATAAGTCTTGAATAATTCCATAGGTCGAGGCATTCCGTTCCTCAAAATTAATAAGTTTAAACTGCTTTTAAACATTTATTATTCACACTTTTGATAAAAATTCTCATTAGTGTAATACGAACAACACCTTACTATAAAACGGAAACTATTAGTATGTAATTAAGAATGTTTCTCACTTTAGGTATTACCAATACCTATTTAATTCTCATGTATTCAGCGGCGCATCTAGGGGATGTTATGGGGTCATACTCCTCACCCCGAAGCTTTCAAATGCTATATTAAATTGGCATTTGGCAATTGTTTAACTTATTTTGTCTTTTTGAAATCGAAATTTTAAAAAATTCGCCTCGCTTTCGAGCTAAACCAAAAATGGACTCGGTGACAGTTAGTAGAATAGAGTTATCTATCTCTATCGGTAAATTTTATTTTGCAACGGATATTATGTTGTGCACGTCAAATATCACAGTTATTACTGATAATTTCCTGCATGTGTTCGTGGTGAGGTTGCAGTTTAAATATAGATCATATGACGCCATAGGCAGAAATATAAATAATAAAATTAACATTGTAATTTCGCTGTAAATTAGTACTTTAACAAAAATAACCTGAGGATATTGACTCGAATGTTTTAGCTTTAGGACAACGTTAATTAACTATTATATTAACTAAAATATTTAGTTAAATAAAATAGTAGAACCGGAGTATTACTCAACCTTGTTGCGGTTTCCCCCTCCTTATTTTTTATTAGCAGTTGCTACCTACTAATCATGCTTTATTAGTTTATTTTATTCAAAATAGTGGTCATTTTCTGTTAACTTGTTTTTTATTATAAGTTACTTACCACCGAACTTACCACCCAGTTAAATAAATCGATAATAACTGCAAAACTAATCCAGAAAAAAATAGGATTTTCTAATTGTTGGTTGGTGTCATAGTTGATAGCGAAGATAGGTACTATAGATATTACAATGATCGGTTTATCCAATTATTGTTGTCAATACCTCGTGATAAATTTCACACCTTAGCAATAGTTTTTGCTTTTTACGACATTTAAATGTTATCTTCCTTGTTATTAATTTTACACCAGGCAAAGTTTATAACATCTATAAACATAACCGAAGAAATAAGTGATATTTGTTATCAATATGCAATTTCTAGGTATTTTATGTATTATTAAGTATATCTGTTTCAAAACTCTTTTGTTTAATTGACGATTTATACTGCACGTTCAGTGTGATACCATCAGCACGAACTATAGGCACGTCCGTGGAAGCTTCATTCTACTTTTAATAAACAAAGATTACTGAAGATGCAGATAGTGGTGTTTGAAAACGTTTCGTCATACTGTGTACGGAGTGAAGTTCCAGGAACTGACTATCAAACTAAGTAAAAAACAGAAGCGGCGGTTTTCCTAATACAATTCCTATGGTCGCAAATAAATACATTATTTGCCGCTTTATTTCCAAAACTAAAACAAAATTGTTTCTGACTTCAGAAAGATTTTCACTGTAAATACTCAAATTTTGCATACAACTAACTACTTAAGTCTATGTCTTGATAACTAATAATTTTGAACTCTCGTCTAAACTTGTGTCTTCCTCAATTCTACATGTAACTATTTCAATTGGAAGCACTCTTGTAAAAAAGCTATTTATTGATCGATTAATTTCTTTTTTTAATGACAGGATATTAGATCGCATTTGATTTGATTTTTTTTCATACTTTTACCCAACTTGTAATTTTTTTTTCAAATTTGATAAAAATTGGATAGCGATTTCTTTATGTAAAATCTGAGTACCTACACCACTGGATTTTGTAGCCTCTCATTATAAAAATAATATTAAAGCTTTTGTCAGTTCCACTTTTCCTAATTGGGGTAAGTACGAGGGTAAATAAATAAATTTATAAGTAAATTGGATGAATGTTTCTAGATGTGCAGCTCTAAATTAAACAATAAGTATTTAATTTTAATGGATGAACCAGTTACAACTACGAATAACAAGAAATTATGCAAATAATTACATTAGCCATAAACACATACACAAAAATTGAGCCATAATTTCACTTTTAACAAAAAATTCTATTAGTTTATTTAATTTATTTATGTTTTTTATACCATCTACGAAGAACGAAAATGATAACACCATTAATATTAATATTACAATGAGCAATGAATATTTTTTCACCAAGTTTCTTGCAAACCATATTGAAGAGGTGCTGAATCCAGTGGCGTAGTCAGATTTTAAATAAAAAATTCGCCAACCAATTTTTGCCAAATTTGCTTCTGAAAAAAATAATAAAATTGGTTTTCTTTAAAAAAAAATTAAATCGGTTTGTAAATATTTTTTTTACCATGTAAAATGATTCAAAATGTGTAATAATTCTTGATTTTGTTTAATTTTGCATGATTATTATTGAAGTTTGAGGAAAGATAATAGGTATGTAAAATACTTGGTAAAATATAAGTATTTATTAGTTTAAAAAATTGACGAAATTTTACGAAAAAAATTATTGGTTTCATTCTTGAATTTTCGAAAATGAAAGCCGGCTTTTTATAAAGCTTTTATTTAAATTGCGGTCGATTTGAACAGTCCTCGAGTGCACTTAAAAAGATAACTGACGTTTTGAGTGTGATTGTATATTGTTATGTTATCTACCACGTAATCAAAACATCAGAGATATTATCAATATCACAAAGCTGTTCTAAGTAAAGCATTCGACAGTCTATACAAAAAACTGTTTATTAATGGAATTGATTTCATCTGGGAAATATGTCTTTCCAATTTTCTCGAAGATTTACTGTAAATTTGTTTGGTTGGACTTCCCAGCATTTGTTACTTAAGAAATCGCTGTTTTACGAGTAGTAAGTCAATGATAGAACAAGTAGATCCAAGCAGAAAGTGACGAAGGGTAACGCTAAACTAGAGAAACTTCCTTTAATTTTTGGTATTGAAAGATCACGTAGAACATGTAAACATCAGAAATGTACCTTTCCTGTTTTGTCCAGCAAATTTACTCAATAATTATGATTAATGTATGTGTTAATAGTTTCTTAAAAGCATTCTGCGAAGTGTGATTATGTTTATACCTTTGTATTGCAAACTGTAACAATGTAAGAACTGGAACAATATACAAGTTGAATTCTTCACATGATTTTCGGAACGAGAATTGTGGTTTGCGGTAAAAATAAAAAAGTGTAGTGTCTAGTAGGTGTTATATTTTATTTAAAAGCATATTTGTTCAAACTCAGAATACGTATTTCTCACTTCAAATTTAGCGTTGTTTATGCTTTACATTGTATTTTTTAAATTACTTTTTAAAGTGCTGCAGTTACAGCTGTCTTTACTATGAAAATCATTGAAATATTGGCTTTTGCTGTGCTATATTTACTTTGTTAGTAATTATAAACTTTATATTTGACTTGGTCAAGTTAATTTTCAAATCGTTTTGAGCCTTTTTTATTATGCAGTTAAAATTTGTGTTAAGACTGCGTAATTTAATTTTAATCCGTTTCTATTTTTTAAACTAGAATCTTTCACTACGTATAAGTTAGTTTTAACTGGTGGTATAAAACTAAAAGATTCAAGGCCATTTCTACATAATTTTCTTGACATATAACTTGGCAAATCTACAATTCGTTAGCGCGCACGAGTAAATCTAGGTTCCTCGTGGACAGCCGTTCTCAAAATGTCGAACAAACTGTCATCTCCATAGATATTTGCAATTTTGAAAAATGACTGATTAGACTCTTTTATAACATGAATTATATTATACTTTTAAGTATATTGCTATAAATTCTTGTGAGCTGGTAATTTTCTTACCTGTATTTACTTATTCTGCTTCACTTCTTCTTTGTATCCTATTTTTCTTTTTTATTGTCTGGGCACCAGCTCACATAAGCATATAGTTGTAATTTAATACAAATTTTGTTTGTTATGTTTATAGAAAATCTCTGTTTGAGAAAAAAATTTAATTTAAGACAAGTTTTTATCTAATATGAGTAGTCTTACCCGAGGTCTTACCTCAGGGTAAGGTTCTGAGAAGATTAGTTGTTTTATCTTAAAATATTATACTGATTAATGAACTTAGATACTTAATCTTGAGAAAGGAA